GAAAACCATCTTTGCCATCTGTCTAGTCCTTCTCAATCCCGAATATTCCCGGGGGCCTCCTGCTTACGAGAACCATCGCATATCACTTAGCGTTCAACTGATAAGGTCAACCACTCAGAGGCTACCAGATTTTTTAAACTAAAATCCCNGCTGCACTCAATGTCCGCACACTCTACCAGATCGGTCAACAAGCCGCCTTAGCTAGAACCCTTGAAACCTTCCATTTAGATGTATGCTGTCTCCGAAACACGCAAACAAGATCCTACTTCAGTCATCTCCCTCCGTTCTCCAGATTCGGCCTCATCCTCAAGCTTCACTCTCACGTGCAAATGAAGAGTAACAGTAGGCGCAGGGAGTTACATACAACCAAAAAATAATTTCCTACTCCATCGGTCGTCGCGCAGGATAATCAAGACCGCGTTGCCCATTGCATCGAGCAAGGTGGGTAGTGATAAGCGGGCTACTGCTCAGATATCCCAACCTTTGTTTAACTCTTTGTCTTCCGTTCCCAACCCTCTCTCTTTATCCCTTCTTCCGACCCGTAGCATGCCTTCAGAAAATTTGTTTGTCACTCGTCAACCTTCGTCGCCAAATAGCCTGGTAAATAGTTTATCACAAAATAGATTGCAGATTCTGAAGCCACTGAATCTGAGGGGCCTTCAAATTGAGGACTTTGATGCAGATAGGGCAACAAGCGTGTCTGGCGCGTACAATGGACTCTTTGGGGATAGATGTCCGTTACGTATCGGAAACTCGAATCTAGGATCGTAGTACTAAAGACCACTTAGGTGCACCGGGGTTTTCGAGGTTCTTCCTCCGCGCGTCAGGTGATGACCAAGCCCGTTCAGTAGGCCAGCGTGGTGTGGGCATTGTAATCAAGAATAAAGCCGAAGCTGCACTACTCGATTGGATCCCCGTCAATAGTCGTTTATGTGCGATGCGGCTCCAAGAGTCTATCAGCGTCCAGAAGGGAAGCAACACCAAAAGGTATTTATTCATCAGTTCAGCGTAGGCACCGACACACAAAAGGAAGAGTTTTATGATTAAATTACAAAAATCATTTAGTTGAGCCAAAGCTCCGATATAGTAGTTCTCGTAGGTGTTTTTAACGCTCAAGTTGGAAAACTGAGCGCATCGGAAGCTTGTCTAGGCGGTCACTGCGCTCTGCCCTGCCAGCGAACAGATAATAGCGATCGATTTCTTCAGTTCTAAGCAGATCATCTGTTCCTATCTAGCACCAACTTCCGTCAGCTCTCAACGGACAGCAACGTGGCGCTCCAATTTAACTGGTACTCTAACTCAAATCGACCACACAGTGACGTGTTTCAGTACAAAACTGCAGGTTCCATTATACCACCTGCATTGAATCTCTTTAAGCGTTAGTTCTGATGCAGTTCACTCTCTAACCCACTGGTAGCAGAAATTCCTACCAAACTCGATCAGATCATCGCTTATCTGACCCAGCCGTTCGTGCCCGTTTTGAATTAGAACTAGGGCCAGAGCCAAAGGCACTGCGAGGTGGTAGTGTAGATGAACAATGGGATCAGATTAGCCGAACAGTGCACTCCGCAGCGAACATTGCTTGTTGATCTGAAGCGGTAGTTCACCCGAGGCATTGGATATCCGATTAGTCAGTAGCACTGATGGAGAAAAAGCGGCAAATCCGAACCATGCAGGATCAAGGCAGGGCTAGGTGGTGTGTGCAAAGTCAACTCAAGAAGAGACTCAAGAAAGACCGTGAGAAATGTTGGGCAACAATAGCTAGTGAAATGGAAGTCGCAGCTGCATCAGGGAATAGTCAGAGACGGTTTCAAATGATAAGCAACACTGAAGGTAGGAGAACCACAGTCAGTAAAACAATCTGCGACAAAAGTGGACAAGCGATTCACAATAGGGAACAACGGCTTGACCGGTGGGCGGAGTACTTCAACGAACAATTCAGTTGGCTAGGTGCTAACCAGACCATATCGTCTGTTGTAGTTGCGGCTCCATGGGAGGTGTCATCATCGTCATCGTATAGCGAAATAAAGTGAAGCGAACTTCACTGGAAAGTGTCATGTGAACCTCCTACTGCAGCAGAAGTTCGATCATGTATCCATGCCCTGAAGAAAGGAAAAGCAGCAGGGCCGAACGGGCTTCCCCGCACCCTTTTCAAGTTGAGAGGCGATGAACTCGTAAACTCCACTAGTGATGTAATGCGTAACATCTGGTCACATGCGCGCATCCTATCATCCTGGAGCGAATCACCGATTGTTCCAATTTTTAAGAAGGGATCTCGCAAAGACTGCGCAGATCACCGTGGAATATGCTTGATCCCAATAGTCACCAAGTTACTAGCCTCCATCATACTTCGACATCTGACACCATTTAGGGAGACAAACATCCGCGAACAAACAGGATTTCGACCAGGCCGTGGGTGTGTCGATCAAATCTTCACTCTGCGTCAAGTCCTCGAGCAACGCCATACGCACCGTCGGCAACGGTTGTCGTGTTCCCTGACCTAAAAGGAGCTTTCGACTCAGTTGACCGCGAATCCCTTATGGGTTCGTTACTTCGCATAAGAATGCCGCAGAAGTATGTGAACATTCTGAGTTCACTCCACTCACATACTTCTGGTAGTGTAAGGGTCTACGGCGAGTTGAGTAGGTCGTTCGTAACTAGCAACGGTGTTCGTAAAGGGTGCTCTCTTTCGCCATTCCTGTTCAATTTCGTCATAGACGAAATACTGGAGAGCACACTAAGTAGTCTCCAAAATGTAGGTACTGAATGAGCAGCTGGAGAAAAGCTGTGCGATTTATAGTACGCTGACGACATTCTTTGCCTGTTCGAACCTATGGAGGATGCGCAAGGAGCACTTGACAGATTAACAAGTTCTGTCTCTCCGTTCGGCAGGTGCTTTTCACCTTCAAAGTGTAAAGTGATGCTACAAGACTGAGTGTCGCCGAGTTCCGAATCTAGACAGTCAAGAATTAGCTGTAGTTGACTGCTTAGCGTACTTAGGTAACTGCGCGACCAACGACTCGTCATCGCATCGAATTCAACTCAATATGCTCCGTTAGTTGGGACACAATTAGGATATGTCCGACGGTCGCCTACAGTAGTGCGCCTTATTCGCAGTGGCTGTTGCAGGTCGGAGAAAGCCACGGGGAGGCCAGCAGATGATGTAAAGATGAGGCTTGAAGAAATGCACAGAGCAATTAGGTAGAGCAGGTGTCTCTCGGCTTCCGGGTTGGAGTCCAAAAGACTCCGAAACCGCATGGTTGGAGATAGTGAAGATCATGGCTGTGAACCGAAGGCAATGGCGATCAGGCTGTCACTTCTTATCAGACCAGGATGCTTGAAATAGTATGTATGCACAACTGGACTGTTCCATTCTCCAGGTTGGAGCCCTGAGGATTGAGAATTGTCACAGGTTCGAGACGCCGAGAGACATGGCCTCGTTGAAATTCCGTACACCATAAAAATATTTGAAAAGTGAAACATACAACTACTATTCCTGTTCATTTTGTTCCCGGTTAGTTTTCTTTACATCGCTCTCATCTTTAACTAATTAGGCCCTTTTCTACTACTGCTATTGTGCTGGCATCATGCATGTTCGCAAGCCGATGAAAGTGCACTCATACCACTGACTGTGATTTAATGCCCTATCCAGTAAAGTCTCCAATCATATTGGGAGGTGGTAACCCGGAAACCCTGACAGCAACCAGATCCGAATACCCTCTACGCTTCGTCACAGCTTGCTTAGCCATTTCTTCTAGTCTGATCGAAAGTCTGCAAATAACGCACGGTGGGGCAAATGTTGTCCAGGCATTCGAAGAACGTTTTAAAGCCAACTCAGATGGTGGAGTGAAATAGTTTTGTTTAACGGAACACTATCTGCCTCGAACACGTCATCTGACCGCATCGTTATTCACGCCATGATTCCAACCATACATGGACACTATGCAGAAAACGTTTGTCCAAAACAGACCGATGGGGTTGCGAGAAACTGAAGCCAGAGAGAGCTATGGTTTGCAAGGTTATCTGAAACGAAGGTTTATACGCGGACAGTAATCAACACGAATAGTTGGGAGATCGATGGCAGTTTGACTATGATTTAGCACGAAAGCATGAAAAAAGATTAATGGACTACTATTTAGATCGTGCATAGGGTTTTCCGGTTAGGGTTCTCAGGATGGGCCGAACAGGTAGACGGAGAAATTATGTCATGGTGGTGGCGTAGTGGTTTAATCGCTATCACCGGTGTGCTTTGGACCTTATGGTCCGAGGTCCGAGCCCCATTACCACCACTCGACTTTGGTGGTAGGCAGCTCTGCTGTCGTCCGGTTCAATACCACGCCTAACCTATCGGGACCTTATATGATTCGCCACTCCAAGTCCCGGGTTTTAGGTTACTGGTTCCCATCACTGAACAGCAGGTCCTCGTGATAACGGGGTTCTCCCCGTCTGTTGTGCATCACACTTAGGTGCGTAATAATTAAACTGTTGTAAACAGTAGCAGGCATATAGTTCTCACTTTATTGACAACCTAATCAACTCGTATTCTGTATCCATGTGTTGGTAACACCTATTCAGTCAAATTTATTTTAATCACGTGGATTGAACAGATTACCTTCAAGACAGTAGCCAAAACCGGAGCATGAAAGATCGTACAGTATGAAAATGGAAATACACTGTCTGTGAATGAACAGAAATAAAACTCACTTTGTCCAAGCCAGATGCTCGTGGACGAATCTTGTGAAGTTAAATCAGTATTGGACGGACCGGCCGCAGCCAGATGCACACAGTCGGGGATGAAGGCAGACAAAAGTTGCCGGATCAAGCGTATCAGCTCACCGCTGGTGTTCGCTCCGATTGTGCGCATCCGCGGAACCGAATTGGTGACATCTAAACGCGCGTCAGATTCCACTAAGCGCTGAGTTAGATCACACCAGCGATTGAGTACACTGATGAGAAGTAATTGGATGAGAGTAAATGAAAGAAAGCGTTTTTCAATAGAACGAGTATTACATTCGAAAACGTTTACCACTACATATATGGAGAAAGACTGCACTGCCTTCAGAAAAAAGGATCATGAACTATTTCATACTGGTAATTTTCGTTTTACTCGGATGAAAATAGCGTACTGCGAAAAAAATATTCGCGATGAACAAATAAATTTTCTCTGGTATTACACACATGAGAGATCCTCCAAGTGACAGCCGCGCATTGTGCAGTCATCATTATCAGAAAGATTCGTTGAACGAACAGCATATCAAGCTCAGACTACGACAGAGGCACTAGAATGAACGTGATTTTGAGATTGTTCCAATTTGATTAGAATTAGTAAAACAGCAACGTCTTGAATGTCGATTTATTGCCATATGCTTCAGTCACCAACCAAACGGGACCACTACCACAATACCCGGAAGAAGCCACATCTGAAAGCTAACCTTTACATTGGGAGTAGTACCACTAACAGTATTTTTATCTATGTACATATGAAAATATACATATGAAGAGATATGCAACACATAGCGCTCACTCAGATGAGACGGTCTTTGTAGGTTCAGATGAACTTGGGCGACGGAATATCCAGGAACTACCCAACTCCATGGATTTCACACACAGATCAAAGAGAACATCCATCTGTAAGGGTTGAATAAATATAAAAGTGAATGTTTCACATAAATTATCAATAACAAGAAGGACCCAATTTAGTGGAAAATGCATAAAGAACGATTCCCCTAGAATAACTGTTTGCTTCTTATGAGCAATTCGTGTGATAACGACGAAGTACAATCAACCGAGCACCGACACCACTGAGTTCGACTTCCGTCATCATCGGGCACAGGCGTTTATTACGTAACAGTGGGCGTGAACAGACTAAATGATCATGATAATGCACTCTTCGGTTTGGGAGAGCAATATCTTAAAATTTTGAACTCGTAGACAACGAAAGTGTTTAGCACTTACGAGGTCTTCTATTAGCACCATCTATTTATCTGAGCAGGGCGAACTCTGAACCAATCAGTTCGCTTTCCGAGAATTACCGAGTGGATAGCTAACTGAAAGACATTCGTAGTCCTTAAAACTCTCAGTTGGTAAATGTTTTAGATACGTTCATTAGCAAACTCAGATTAACTGACAGGAATTGAACAGTGGGAGAAAGGGATTGTTCAAATCATTATTGCCATAAGTAATCTCATAACTGTCCTGCAGTGAAATACGATGAAGCAAAATTTGCCGATGGCTGCCAAGCTCAGGATACTTGCAAATTAAGTAAGGAAGTATCAGGCGGTTAGCGAGTGAGTCTGTTTTGAGAGGGAACAAAATAAACCCTATGATCAACAACAAATATGAAGCCTATCCGTGCACACACCATTTCAACCATTTTGGCTTGATAGGAACAACACTATTTGTCGGGTGACTGCCGCATTCCTCAACCAAACAGTTAGAGTATGGGACCCAAGTTGAGAAGACGAGAGGCACTTATACTACCCAATTCCTCAACGCCTAGTATCCACATCATCTTTTGACTGCCACATAATTGCCTCCAACCTGGAATGGCACCTGCAAACAAGGTGTGATCAGTATGCGCACTACGTATTTTACCCAACAAAGAATACTAGTATGAATTCGGTGTGATGATGGATTTCCTACCGATTCATTTCAGTTTCGCCAGCCCGCTCGTTCCATCCTACCTGCACCAAACCAAATCAAAATCGAATCTGGAAAACTTCCGGTCGACAAATGCGAACTTTTGCATGAACATGTACAGCTCGCAAGGTGATACTGGTTATCGTTTTACCTCATCATCAGAATAAGTGAAACATCCCGGGTGAAATTCAACGGAGGACTTTGAAACTCACTCGATCTTGTTCACTGACAGGATATTTGTCGACCAATTCTATTACGGCATCGATAATATTCTGAAAGAAACGAGATCAAGGAGATAAGAAACGCGCAACGTTGGTGTCATGGCCACATCGCTCGATCGTGATATTCGGTATGGAGAATCAGATAAAACCCTGATAAAGCTGTACTGAATCTATTTCCTTGGCATCATTGGTATACATGTTAATTCATTTATCACCCTTCTGCGAACAAGTACGGTACCAAGGCAACTAGAATAATAACAGAAAAGAACGACTTGAAAAACAAATAGCTACAGATAATCCAGAAAAAACAAAAGATAAAGTTCTCGTGTGTTTTATCGCACACCTGATATCTTTTCTCGATGCCGGGCATCTAAACTCGTACCTTCAAGGTTCGCAAACGCAAGTTGCCATTGCCTAAGCCACTCGACCAAGAATACATCTCATTTATCAAGCTAGGTTTGTGGTGTATCATGCCTAGACATTGAATACTTACGAACAAGGGATCATGGGATACAACGTTCAGATAGGATGCAGCACAACAGGTAACAAAGGTACGTTGATTTATAATGCCGACACTATACATAAAAAACCATTGAAAACCACAAGGCAAAACATTATCATACTTTATACACAACAAACTTGCAGTGAAACCTTCATTCAAACGGTTCATGGATTAAACCTGGAAAGACTTAGTTCGGATAGTAATAATAATATTAATACTAAAAATAATAATAACATGAATAATAATAATAATAATAATAATAATAATTTTACTGTTCTAATTGAATGGTGCGATGGATTTTCAAAAAGGGAAGCAAACTACTGAACGTTTGTGATACGGCATAATTAAGCGGAAAAGATGGATTGGGTCGAAAAAAACGGACACTTACTAAACACTCAGACGGATTGGGTCCCCCGGTCTTCAAACCGGTCTGACGTTGATCAACCAGTGAGGAGATTTTAGAAGGGCAGACCAAGTGACCTGTAGCATGCACAACACGTTGTAAGACCATCACCACTAAGGATTCCGTGGCGCGGGCTGTAACTGATGGGGAACGCATCGCCGACTGGGGCTGAATATAACAAGCGGTAAGCACAAACGAGGGTCACACGTGAAAAAGAAAATATGTAGCAGACGTGAATCGTAACTAAGCCCTGCATGGATGGCTGCGGTGATCATCGTTAATGACTTTACCTCCTTTATCTGATCACTACAACCAAGCAATCTAACAACGACGTGTGAACTGAGGGTTTCCATTAAAATTCCTGTTCAATTTCCAATACACCATCAATTACGGTTGCACAGTAACATCATCGATACCGGTGGCCGTAACATGTTACGTGTCATTAGACAGACTACTTTGATATACACTGTGAAACCGGATAGACACTGGAAGGGAAAAGGTTCAGGATGACCAGACTATGATCTGGCATCAAAATATAAAAACGCAAGCCAATAGAGTGGGTGGAGTAAATTGTGTTACGCTTCCCGGCTGAAACCTGAGGAGATGCCGCTAACGGATTTGAACAGTGAGGTTGGTATACCTAATAACCACTCTCCTCATGCATCCAGATTTTTTATATTATGTACACTCCTTGGTATTGTTGACGCTACTGTCTCCATTTCACTCTTTTTTTGTATTCAAATACCCCTATACTGTTATTATTGTTGTTGCGTTAGCACCATGCTTGTTCGCAAGCCGGTGAATATAAATTTATAAGCAGTATCCGAATGAATCGACAAAGTTTCTTTGGGAACACACGACTGGTTTCGCGATTCCTGCCGTTCGCCAGGCATGCCTATCCGGTAATCTTTTGGCAGTTTATTCATATACTTGTACCCAGGAAGTGTGTTTTCGTCACAATAACCTCATCCGGAACACCGAGTAATTTTGGATGAACAACTTATGCAGAGTTGGTCGATTAAAGAATCAACACTATCATTCAAAGTTCTCTAGGTGGGTAAGATGCTACAAACCGCAACAAACGTGACCTGAGCGTCTTTATAGAATATTTCGTTCGGAGTATAATACAACTCTACTCTCTGCTAGTGCCCACAGTAGATCATGAAAATGCTCCGAAGCGAATAAGCGCTTACCGGGATGGTCCCAACTTTTGAATCTGGTAAAGAAGTGGCTGCTTCTAACAAACACTGTACAGAACCAGTCCAGATTTGATCAACCGGTTGATTCGGTCTGAATTCCGCTGGAATTGTTGTTGGAGCCCCGGAATCATTGGAATCCAGGGTAGTTTGAGATCCACAAATTAAACGGATCCAATAATACAGGGCTACCAGGAGCTGGTAGCTATTGTGAGCCAGGGTCTTCGGTTCGACAGGCGGACAGAGAACTGGGAGTGAACAAATTAAAAGTATCGACAATTAGAATGTCGAAAGGGATCACGTGAAGGTCAGTGACGATTCTAACAGCAGGACTAACAGTAATACTAGATGAAAGACCACCTCCAGTTTCACTGCAGCTACCAACTCGTGTAACAGATATAAACAAGTGAGGAAAGGGGAGTGACAACCTGGAAGTTGTTTGTAAAAAACCAGCAGTAAGTGGCACACACGAGTTTTGGAGAAACGCGAAAACGGGCGGGGATTTCACGACTCCGCGTTTTATGAGCAAAGGAAAAGCTTATGATCCAGTAGAGAATTGCTCATTTCCCCTTTCTGTTATCCGCGGGCCACAACAGAGCAAAAACATTAAGAAGGCTTAGAAAAATTCCCCGGATCACCTGTCTCATTCACATTTCCATCACAGTACCATGGCAAGTGAATTTCGTTCCAGCCTTGGTCTTTAGGTTAGCTTCTGATATTCGCAACTTTAGTCACCTACCAATTCTTGGATCACTCTATTCAGTTCTGATTACACAACCTTGCACTTTGTAGCGGCAATTTTGGTTTATACTGTATCCAATGTGGTTTTACAACGGTCTGATGACAGTTGTAAAATCTTGACTAAAATGTAGGCAGCCATGTTTCTAAAACTTCCTGTTTGGAGGATTAGCCGGGTTCCGGCAGACAGGTGTGATATCGAACCATACGAAAACAAAGCTGTCTACCAGCATACTATTTGTTTGTTTTTTTCTACAGTTAATTGGGAAAAACGGACAAAACACAAACCACGGTGATATCGGTTCGGGTGAATCGGAAGAGGAGAAAAAATAAACATACCTGCACTTAGACGTTGCAATTGAAGAAGTGGGCTTTCAAAAAAGCAGGCAAAAACGTGCTGAATCAATTCCAATGCACGACGATTCCCTTCGTATGCGTTACCTTGACTGAGTTTATACCGATGCAAATGAGCTGTGAGAATAGGAAAAGTAATGTGCAATTAATAAAAGATGCGGGACTTGTTCCTCCAAAAAATAACGGTCAAAAATGGACAAACAAAACAGTACTCACGATCGCCCAATGGTGCACTGAGACTCAGATAACGACCGAGCAAGTTGGCGAGAAACGGAGACACGAACTGCGCGGTACGGAGGGGCGGGGGGGGGACGAAAAAGTAATTCACAACGGACAGACAGGATGAGCAATGAGCCAAGTAGTTTTTTATACTTCATGTCAAGTAATTTCATTGTCATTGGAACCACTTTTTGCCTCGTGGTTATCAAGATATCATTATGACATAAAAAATCCCAAGCGAAATCTATTTCAATGATTATACGACAATGCATGAAACAGCTGCAGCTCATTACATTATATTAATTGTAGAAGGACAACGGATTTTGCCTAGTCTGCTTAGGCGCTTGTTATCGGGAACTATGAGAAGACGGTTTTCATGCTCACGCTGTGTTCCTCTCAGCACCGGACAAAAAGTGGTGCACACAACAGGAACTGACGCGTTATACTGGGTTTGAATACGGAGGACAAATGATAGGCAAAAGATATGGGAGTGAGTGGAGAAGTGTATAACTCCGAAAGAAGGCATTTGTAGGATTTAGTACCTGGTGGTCTGTGGTATGAGGATTGCCCATAGAAAGTATGAGGTTCAACTGCAGGCAGTTTTTACAAAGCTGAGAGTGAAACAGACACCACAGACAACCAAGCACGAATGTTATACGCAGAAACACAAATATATCAGGTGCATGGGTGGATGGTGCTAGTTAGTGAGGCGATAAAATCAGCTCATTTGCTATTGGAAAGTTTGGGTGATGAGAGGCAGAGAAAATGCAGAGAGGAGTACTGCTCCACAGCTGAGTGGCTTATATGGCAGACGGTATATATTAGTATATTAGTATATATATATATATATATATGGTGGAATCAAACCACGTAACTAATGTGGTCGAGGCGTTT